TCTCCTCTCCTCTCCTCTCCTCTCCTCTCCCCTCCCCTCCCCTCTGAATGCCTAGTTGCATAGAATACATCCAACCATCATGATGAAAGTTGGTGAACTGCTAAGATGTTTATGGTATGGCCTTGACTTGACTGCTTTTTCCCCCCAGAACTTTTGTGTCCGAGGGCTGGAACTCTTCTCTTCTTATCTCTTCAAAGATATTTTAGAACTGTACGATTGGAATCTGATAGGTAATTATCACACTTGAAAGTATATTTATGGGAAACATTGCAGATATGAAATGAAATTTCCACTGTGTATTTAGACATTTTTTTAAAAAATCCTGTTTCTGGTGATATCAGAATGATCTGGTGATGGTCGATATATTGTTTGAGAGATGGTAGATATATATTAAAGAGAAGGGTTTGGGCCCTTCTCTTTTTCAACAATAAAAGGTACAGGCTGGGGTCAGGTCTAAAGACATTATCTTCCTATAGGCTCATTATGCTGATTCGTTTGCGAAAAGATTTCTGGTAGTTTAGAAGAGTTTTAGAAGAATGGCAGCGTGCTTTGGGGTTCTTTCCCCTGCCTTCTCATCTCTTTTGATCAGAATCCAGTGATAGCATGTTGGCTCAAATGTAATGGCTAACTTTGGTTTGCTTGAACTAGGTTTAGGCTCTCTAGTTTGCTTACTGTTTGCTGTATAGTTGCTTCGCTAATCTGTTGATAGATTCTCTCTTGATGCATGCAAGAATCCCTGCCCCATCTGATTGTAGATTCTTTTAATGAAAGAAGGGAAGAATGTGTGTAGCAAAGCAAAAGTCAGGGTCTTATATCACATGTATTTATATAGTGATTTTTAGAAAATCAAACAGAGCTGTGCCCATTTGTCCAGAAAAAAAAAGAGACAAGATAGTTAGGGATGGTAATTAAGGGCATCCTTGAGGGCTAGAGCCATGACAAGGAGCTACCTAATAAATCTATCTTCTGGTAAATGAGTATTTTGTGGCTGTTGATGCCCATCATGGCAGCTATTTTAGGAATAGTTAACTGCCCTTTCTGGCCATCATTTTGGGTGCATGTCAATGATATGCTCTGAAAAATTTTAAATGAGCCCATGGACCCTAAAATATTGGGGAGCCCTAAATTAGGAGGCAGTAAATTTCCTCAGAATATTTGAGAACAGGAGATACCCAACCTAGAGCCTGCTAGGTATTGTACAGCTTCTGAGAAACTAGGAGGAGGCATAAGTATACTCCAGGCATTCGAAGCTTGCAGGAGGAGGGAGAAAATATAAGGAATAACTTCCCCCTCCACTATGTTCAGGGGTCACAGAATGCTGAGTGTGTGTTGGGGGATGGACATAAATGGAGAAGACCCATTTGAAAGGAGGCAGAGTTGGTACATTATAGCATTCGACATACTTCATAGCTATTATAACATTGCACATGGCAGGTTTTTGTGGCAAATGCTCATTACTGTTCACTGTAATTCTGAGCTCAAGCAGTTGTATGTTCTGAGTTCTCCTACTAGACAAAAACCTTCGCTCTGTTGAGGTTAAGGGTGGAAGAAACACACGGCTCTAATGCAATAATCATATAAGCTTTCTTCCAAGATGTTGTTTGGACTCTTGCTTGAGTTTAGCACAGTCCCCATTACCTTCCTAAACATAAACATGTTCCCTCTTTAATTTTAACCTAGCCTTGGATCCTGTTGACTATGCTAGTTCTATCACATCAAGGGCCAACAAGCACCTCTAGTATTGCTTATTCCTTTTTTATCCATAGACTCAGACACATAGAAACAAATGCAGATTCATGGCTTTTATAGTTTACTTCCTGTACTAAAAGGTCCACATTCACACAGCTGTGTGTACCTACCCAATGGTAACCCTAACTGGCCAGGCTAGCTTTGAGTTTTAGAAGAAATGAGGTGGGATGCCCACCATGCACGGTATCCTGTTGTGTGTGATGGCTCCAAAAGAGTATAGTTCTCATCTATATTACTACATCTTTCAGCAAGGCTTATCCAGTCTGCAAAAGCTTGGCCAGTCCCATCTTTGCACTCTCTTATCCCACCTGGTACTTTTCCATCAGAATACTATTCCGTTATTCGGTGCACATGAAAACCATCTCTTGTTTGGGGAAGTATACTTTTTTGTGAGAACCATCACTTGCTAGATTTTCTTCACAGTCTTCATTCTGATACTTGTCCCCACGCTCCACAAACTGTGATCTATCTGAGCAAACATTGCTGCCTCTGCAGCCCATTCTGAGTGGGTCTCAGGGACTCTGTTTTTCACCCATTTTCATTCACACAAATACATGGCACAAAACAGTGTCATTCTATTATGGCATTATAGAATAGTTGGCGTTATATGCTGGTGACAATATACTGGTCTTAATATACTGATACACGATTGCCCAATTTTAATACACGTCATTCAGCCCTGTTCTGACAGAACAATCCTGTACTCATATTATGCCAATACTACATGTACTTTACCTCCCACTGAAGAGAGGAAAATGTACAGGGAGAAAACCATAAGGGCTAAAAACGATGCATGGATCCAGAGTTCTGGGAACTGCCCCCAGTGGTAACCAGTCAGAATCATGTCAGTGACAACACCCATGTATTGCCTAAACACAGAGACAGCCAGTGAATTCATTGTCCCTAGAAATGTATCCCATATATTGGGTGGTACTGGCAAATTTTCACTGGTGGAACAGTTCCATGAACATGTCTCTAGTGGTGGAACCCACCATGACTTCTGATGGCATATCTGGTGTTCTACTGACAAAGCTAGATCCTATGTTTCTTCAATAAGTAAGGGAGTGTACCTCGTATGTATGGGAAGAATATGTACTATATAATTAGGTGGCTCCCTTATTTTTAACTTCCTTTTATTCTCTTTTTTATTGTGTTTTATATATTTTTAATGTATTTTACTGTTTTTAGCTTTGTTGTACGCCACCCAGGGTTGCCTGTGGTGAGATGGGCAGCTATATAAATTGATTTAATAAATAAAATAAAATAAGAATGTATTCCTCTGCAGAAGCACAACTCACATTCTGCTCCATGCCAGTCAAAATTATGTTTTATGGGAAATGCTGGGACCTCTGCTAATAGAAGGAATTAAGCACATTTGATTCATTTTGCTTAATTGAACTTTAAATAGGGAACCTGTGGCTCTCCAGATGCTCCTAGATTCTAATTCCCATAGGTCCCAGCCAGCAGGGCCACTTAGAATGAGATCTATAGTCTAATGATGTTTGGAAGACCATGTGTTCCCCATCTTTTTAGGTCCAGAGGAAGGGGCTAAAAAATTGCTTTTTAAAAACAAAAAACAAAAAGTCCACCAAATGCTGTTTCATAGAATGTAAAATGAATTGCTTGTGCAGCGCATTTGTAGAATGCACTCACTTCTATAAAAGCTATTTAATTTTACTAATGTACCAAAATTGCAGCTAAATACCCTGTGAAATTACACCTTGTGATATACAGTACGTTGCTGTTCATTTCCTTATATAAGGTCCTTCATCAGAAAACAGTGATACTTCCTGTCCTCGGTTTCATTTCATGCCACGTTTCGTGAGGTTTCTTCCAGGTAAGTGTATTTGGTTTCAGCGTGACAGCTACACTTTTAGCTACTTCTGAGAGGATAAAAGCCCATGTCTGCATTGTACCTCTTCCAAAATTGCAAATGTGTGTGGAAGAATCCACACAGACATTTAATTGTCACCTTGGCACATATTTAAATCTATGTCATAAATTATCTGTGCCTGTTCTTAAGGGTTTATTTTAAAAGCTTCAGTACTTAAGGTCATTTAGTATCTGTGTTCAGCCATAATACTTGTTTTTATACAATACAAAAAGCTTGGTTTCTTACTAAGGTTCAGATGGAATGTTAAGCAGGAACAGTAAGAAAAGCAAAATGAACCAGGCCTAAAAGTAGCCAAGTTTAGAATGATGTGTTGCTTTAACTGATTAAATATGTTGTACAAATGTAACCTGGGACTAATTTAGAATTTTTGGTTATTATTCATGAGCAGCAGAGGCTTTCTGGAATGTCTGAACTCTGATTTCTGACTTCCACTCCTCTAATAAACTACTTTTGAGGTTGGTTTTCTGTTTCTGGGGTCTTCAGGAAGTGGCAAGGAGAGTCTGGAATGATTCTGATCTATAGGAAACGTTTGCGTCTGATCAATTCTGGTTGGGCTACCACTGCTTTCTTTTGTGTCAAACGCACTTCCCTGTAAAGGAGAAGGTGTGCAGCACAACTTGTTCCATTGTTCCAGTGGAACATAAGAAGCTGCTCTATAGAGAGTCACAATTATCAGTGTTGACTGGCAAGCGCGTTTTCTTCTAGAAATAGCAGCCATGCAATGTGCATCATACAGAAGTGCCACTGAAGAATAGCTTTTCTCCAAATAATGAGAAGATGAGCTGGAACTCCCTTGATTTTGTTTTTGTCTCCCATGCATAGATTTCTTGCCTGGGCATGTGGCTTGTTGTGCCAGAGTTGGAAGTTGTTGTTTCTTAATTTTTTTTCTGCTTTTAAAGATCTAATATTTTTATTATTTCTGTCTAGCACTGGAAGTGCCTTCTCTTCTACTGGCTGAATTATATTTGTTGTAATTATTGTTTGGGGTTTTTTGGGTTGAATGTTAAGGTTTGATTATCAAGCTTTAATATAATGCTATCGAATTTTATTGCTGTAGCTTATATTTGAACGTATTGCGCTGCCTCAGGTGACTGTGTCCAGACTGGTGGCTTATAAATATTTAAGTAAAACAATGTTTTAATTTAAATATGTTTAAAATTCAGCTGATTGCAGACCTTCAGGCTCGTGGAAGAAGTGAGTGTTGCCAACTTCTTGATGTGGTATCACAAACAGTCCTACCAGCCTTGAAGGCAAAAGTCCAGGTTGACATGAAAACACAGCTAGCACCTTTTCCCTTTTTGCTGCATATTTTAAGACCTAAAATGATATAGTGTAGATTCTGCCACCACCACCCCAATCATGCTTACGCTGATCTTTGTCTTTGCTTTGTAAAACTAAAAAATGTAAAATAATTCACATTAAACTTTCAGTATAATGCATAACAGTGGAGTTAGTCATTCTCAGCTGGTTCAAGTTGTGCACAGACTCCATGCTGGGCTTCTTGTGATTTTCTGCAGATCTTGTACAAGCACCAATTTGAGTGACACCAAGTTCAGATAATTGCATCATGGCCATTAGTACATTCTGGCTTATTATTTGGGTTTGTACATCATGCTAGGCCAAAATGTGATTGGTCTGGCTTTGGCTTAATGTTTTGGTTGATTCCAGCTATTACAATTTGCAAACTATGGTCTATATCTTAGTGTGATGTGTGAACCCTATCAGTTGTAGCTTATGGCTTAATGTAGCATGTAGACAAATTACTGTTTAGCTTCCCTGAAACCGCTGCTCTTTTTCAAATGCTTTCTTTCCTTTAAAAATATAAGACGGTTTGACAATCTATCCAATTCTGTTTTTAAGATGGCGGGAAGGAAGTTCTGTCAATGCATCAGATTCTCCTGTATTTGTTACGATGCAATAAACCACTCGTGCCAGAAGAAGAGATTGCCAATATGCTGCAGTGGGAAGAGCTTGAGTGGCAGAAATATGCCGAGGAATGCAAAGGGATGATAGTGACTAGCCCTGGCATGGTACTAAGATGTTCTCTTGAAATAAAATAGTCCACTAAGTTTTAGCCATTCCAACTACTACTGACATGTGTATGTTTTTTAATGTTATATTACAATAGCATCTATGATGGTTGGGCAAAGTATGCCTTACAACATATGTATGGCTCCTCTGTACCCCACTTGCAGCCCCCAGATTCCCCTATCCTGGATGGGGCTGAGCATTCCAATGACATCATTGCATCACCTGTTGCACACTTTGCAGGCCCCACGCAGGGCCCAAAACAGTGCCTCATAAAGGATATGGGTGCCTCATAAAGAATAACACACTAAAAATATAAGAACAAAAGAATTCTAAAAATTAGCAGATTCTGAAATTAAGGGAAAATAAAGAACAGGGTGTGGCGCAGATCTAAAAGTTGGTAGATTTAAGCATTTGGTATTTAAAGATCTGGGAAAGCTCAAATGTCTTTAGCTGGTGCTGAACGGACTACAAAGAGGTATCATGCAAAGATCTCCAAAGAAGACATCCCATAATTGGGTACCAAAGCTGTGAATGCCCCTTTATCTCTCTTCCTTTATCTGGAAATGGCAAAGAGTGTTCTCTAGGAAGTAGGTCCCATGTGATTCTTACTAGGAGGCTATTCATACATGATTGCAGAGCTGTGGAGCCATTTTCCTTTTGTTTCTTCTTATGCCGTTGGATGAACATTTAGAAGCCCGGCTGCCCCCTTGTCTATCACCCTGCTGCTTTGTTCAGAGGTGAAAAGGATTTCTGAATAACACACAGTAGCACATTCAAGTACAGTGGTCCCCTACTTCAGGCTGCATGTTACATGCTGAACATGGTAGATGGGAAGGAACAGGGATTGGGATCTCAATTTTCAGGCTAGAATAGCACTGTTGAAGAGAAGTTGTCTCTTGGTATACTAGAAGATTGGTGGGGTTCTTTCCCAGCGGTCATGTATAGGATTGTCCTTTTAATAGATCAGGTCAGGAATACAGAACTTGTGGCCTTGCTGATGTCACTGAATTATGACTCCCAGCATCTCTTCCTTTTGGCCATGATGGCTGGGTCTGCTGGAGGTGGTGATGTAGCAGCATCTGCAAGACCAAAGGTGCAAATAGACCATATCTCAAGTTTGTGTCAAGGCATGCTGGGGCTGAAGGGGAAGCCTTTCTTTACCACTGAGTCCTACGTAAAACCACAGCAAGGGAAAATGTGTCTTAGATTAAATAGTAGAGGAGCTGTAGTGGTAGATTTTATTATCGATGCAATAAAAGCCCAACAGGATCCAGCAGCTGCTTGTCAAAGTCAATCCCCGAGATCTTTTCTAAAGGTTTGCCTAAGTTATGACTGAAGAGATACTTTTCACTGCCATTTGGTGTTTGGGTACATGAAATCTAACAATGACAGTGTCCACCTGATATAGATGCTTTTGTAGTCATGTGTGTTTTACATGTGTAAAGTTTCATCCAGTTCTGCCTAATATGACGAATGCCAATAAAACAAGCACAGAGCAATGGGATAAAATACTGTACACTGGCAAGGGAATGCAAAGTTCAGAAAGTAAAAATAAAAAAAGTAGCTATCCAAACATTGAGGTTTTTTTTAAAATAATCTGTTTGAATTTCTCCCTCCCTCCTCCATGCTCTGGAACTTTCCACTTGTTTCCCAAAAGCCTTCCAGAACAATCATGTCACATGTATACTTTTGCCTGTTGTGTTCTCCTTAACATATATTGTAGAACACACAAAGGAAGCCTCCTTTCGTCAAACAACAGGAGTAACTCTTGTGGATTTTGATAATGAACGTTTCATCTTGCTACTTGACTGTAATGACTAAAGATCATGAGAGGATTTATGAAGCATTATTTTCTTCATAATGTGTGTGTATGTGTTTGCATGTAGCTTTTTAAAGTGAGAAGGAAAAAAGGAAAAAAATAGGTTCTGTGTGTGCATATTTTTCTTTTCTGCCAAGTTCCTTTGGTGACAATAGCAATTATTTTAATTTCTGCCAGGAACAAATAACAGAGGGAGATTTGTGTGGGTTTTCTGCTTCTTTGTTAACGTGAAGGCTAAATAAGGAACAGATAGAGGAGGAATATCTCACAGAGCATAACCTTGTAAATTTACTTGAGAAGAACATTGCATTATTTAAATAAAAATGAATTTCTAGTCTCCTTCAGGGATAAATATCCATCCCTTTCTTTGGTGATGTTTTAACTCTAAAGTTTAGAAAGACAATGACTCCCGCAAGATAATTAAACTGAGTACCAGACTTTTTATTGATTCAACCATCACCACCCCTGGCCTACATTTATATTACTCCTTTCAACCATTATGAGCTCCTAATGTGTTAATTCCTGAATGGAACCTTGTATTATAGAAGCAGAATGCATGGTTAATTCTGTGAGGAGTGATGGTAATTCTAATTTCAGTCCTTTCGTAAGTGACCGTGAATCAATAAATATGTGAGTTAACCAACCCAAAATTAGCCTCAACCACTCTGTGTCCTAAATCTTACCGTGGCATGAAAGGAGGCGACCATCTTCTTGTCCTTCTCCATGTCTGCCTCAGTTCAGGCTGAACTTACCTAGCCAGCTCAAAGTTTTGCATTACCCAGGAAGCCTCTGTGGTCACACAAGCCTTTTCTGTGTGTGAACGTGAGGCGGGTACAGAAACGGTGCCTTGCTCTTGTTCCTCACATATTAATTTAAATAAGATTTGGACATGTGAATAGGATGATTTGTTTGCTCAAGAAAGAGAACCCAACAAAAGCTAGAAGGGATCCCGCTATTTTCAGTCTGCTCATTTTCATACAGAGCTGCCAACTATTTTCAGAATAGTGGATATAGTCCCTGAAAGCTCATAGAAAGCTTCGATGTTTTAAGCTTGTTTGTGTCTTCAGAAAGTTGTGTGTTATCCACAACTCCATAGCCCAAAGAAGCATTGATGGAGCCATTATGAGAGAAATTTAACTTACTTTCTTTTTTCTTCTTTTCTCTTCCTCCAGAAACCCAGTTCTGTTCGTATTGATCAGTTGGACCGTGAGCAGTTCAACCCTGATGTGATTACTTTCCCCATTATCGTCCACTTTGGAATACGACCTGCTCAGCTCAGTTATGCTGGAGATCCACAGTAAGATGCCACTGCCAGCTCAGAGCTTAAGTGCAGCCTTACTACTGATAGTAAAATGTGGCCATGCTTTTATTGAAACTGTTCTGAATTTTTTTCCTGGTGCTCCAGAGCATGGATCGAGGAATCTAAAAATACTGACATTCTGTCTGTGCCAGAAGTTGGGATTTTTTTTCCCCCTTTGCATGAGGCTTTTCATAGTGAAATTCTGGAGTTTACTTTTTTTTTTTTTTTTGGTGGTGGTTCTTTTATGTTTTCATTCCTTTTTATTGCAGGACTTGAATGTTTGTTCTGTGCTTTCTTTAAAAAGGGAGACAAAAATAACGTGCACTTGAACCTAGGCTGAATTTGTTTCCTGCTGAATCTATTGGATTTAACTCACTGCTTTATTAATTATATGGGACTGATCAACAACGTAACATTTTTTTCTAGGCAATATCTGTAAGGAGTGCAAAATCCAAGGTTATTTCCAGGTGTCCATTTCTAAAATGCTTGGCCCCTCTTTCATTTATTGAGAGTGGCCAAAGTGCCATCTCTCCATGGAGATGTTGCAGATGGTGCTGGTAAAGATTAGGTAGAATGAACTGAATGAACTTTATCATGCAATCATCCTTTCCCTGAATACTCCATTGCACTTTTTTTTTTTTAGGTACTTTTTTCTCTTATTGGAAATCTCTCAAAGTTTCAGTTCCATTAGCAGTGGCCCAAGTCAATTTGTCTTCTGGTTCCAACTCCAAGAGGCAGGAGATGGAAAAAAAAAAGGATGCTAACCTTTCATATACAGTCGATGACAGTGGAAATGTGTTAGTTATACTCTTTCTCTGCATGGTTCTAAAGAGAGTTCTAGTGTAGAAAAGAATTTCTGGACAGATCACTAATCCAAACACATCATGTTCCAAAATGTAACTCTTGTTCTTTCTACCCTCTTTCAGATACCAGAAACTCTGGAAAAGTTATGTGAAATTGCGCCACCTGCTGGCTAATAGTCCCAAAGTGAAGCAGGCAGATAAACAGAAATTAGTGCAGAGAGAAGTATGTTGCAATTTCATCTTTGTTTTTCCCTGGCTTTCTGTGTAATGCTTGCATTGCTGGTACCACAGCTGCCTTTAATCCAAGTCTGTCCTGAGCCTTAGTTTATTATCCAGGTTTATGGGTATCTTAGTGTTTTAATTTATGTTCTTCTGTTGTTCCTTTGGGGTGGACTGAACTAGAAGAACTTTTCAGATAGATGGTATTCTGTATTTTCACTGAAAATACAAGGAGATGTGTGCAGGAAATGGACTGTCATGAGCTGGGGGGTGGCAGTTGGCAGTTTTAAGGGGGTAAACTACTTTGGGCTTTGGGGGTTCTTGGAAAGAATACTGGGTTTGTTGAAATTTAATTACTGAGGGTGACCCTTGTATGCACAAAAGCCAAGTCTTTCAAGTTGCATTACTAACCCCTTTTTAAAATCATTTTTTTACTATGGTATATGTATTCATGATTTTTTTAGCTGCAGAGTGTCCTGTGGATAGAAAGGAGGGATAGAAAGGAGGAAAATAAATAAATAATAAACTACCCAAGAACTATGTCTGGCTTCTGTGATGTTGGAGATCTTTTGAATATATCAGAATATATTAAAATATTCCAAAATAATGGTAATTGTTTTCTAGGAACTTAGGAACCTGTCTTATACAAATTAGATCACTGGTCCATCAAACCCAGTATTGTCTAATCTGATTAATAGCAACTCTTCAGATTTTAAACCTGGAAAAAGCAGAAGAGAGGATTTGGTACTTTTTCTTTACTTAGTTTTGTCCCTGAGCAACACTCCTTCCAGTACATGAGCTGTTTAGAATTCTTAGGAGATGATAGAAATTCACCGTACTAGCACTCTTTGTTTCAATCTTTGATTGCTCGACTCAGTAAATCGCAACTAAATCCATGAATTCTCTCAGTAAAAAAGGGTTGCATTTGAGCAGGCAAGGAACTGCATGAAAATCCCCTTTGTGGGAAGACTGATGATAGCTCAATCACTTATGCAAATCATAAGACTGGTTGATGTAGTCAGTGCTTGTGATATGCCTGTGTGAAATAGCCTAGAGACCATAGGCGTTAAAATTCCCATCCATAGTATTTATATCTTCTGAACGAAAAAAGGAGTTGCTTTAGGCAATCTAATAGCAGTCGTATATCCAACCTTGGGTTTCCTTTTAATAGCAGAATCCTATTTTATATCATAAATTACTTGTAAAATATTGCAACCACACATTTCCCTTTAAAAGCAGAATGTTATTCTATGTCACTAATGTCTCTTAAAATATCACTCAAATTAAGAAGGAACGTATGTTTGTGGACGCAGGCAAAACTGAGAGATAGCCTTCTAAGGTATCCGAATCTAATCTGGAAATTCTTTCATCTCAGCCATATGAACAGAAAATTCTAGACTAGAACCAAGGTTAGAAAACAATGGCGTTATAACTTCATGAATTTGAGAGGAGGAGAGCAAAGGAGGAAGGAGGGAGAAAGAAAATGCCATATTCCTTTTAAAAAAGCAAAGCACTTTTCCCTTCTTTTTTAAAACGCTATTACTGTACTGCTAAGTAGTTTTGTACTGGAGAAATAGGGAACCTGTTCACACTTTATTTTTTTAATAACATAGTGTAATCCTGTAGATATTTGCTCAGAAATAAATCCCACTCTGGGCAACGGCACTCCTTCCAATTAAATGTTTCTAGCAGCCTTGTACAACCAAGTGTCACCCCCCTCACCCAGTTGTGTTGGGCTTCGCAGTGTTACAAGCTTATAGCCTGCATCTGCAGAATCAGCTTTCAGTCTTCCCTCTAAGTGGGGAGGTCCTACTAATAAACCTACCCCTTTGAAAAGAGGCACAATTTTTTTTTTTTAATATTGTAGACTATTTTCAACTTCACCAAAGCCTTTCATTGCTGCAGTGTAGAACAAATGGAAGACAAGAACTTTTTATTAAAAAAAGAAATCTCTCTCTAGGGAATAATGGACAAGTTATTGTTAAAATTATTGTAGATAGCGCTTGTAGGTGATTACATTTCACTGCAGAGAGAGAGGGAGGGAGGGAGGGAGGGAGTGCTACTTTGACATGTATCACCCTGTGGTGTAAATCTCTGTTTCTAGATTTTATCACCTGAGGTGACTGGCTGTCTCCTGAAAATGTCTCTGCTTCATTTTTTTTGCTTCTATCATGGATGTGCTCAGGAGTCTTAGGAAACCTACCATGGGAAGATTTCAGCAGGACAGAGAGATAGCTAAACACTTGCTTGTCCTCATTATTCTTCATTGTGGTCTCTGTGATTCACACATGTGGATTTTGTACTTGCACAGAACTTCTTTATAAACTTCTAGAGTGTGTAGCTTTTTGATAGGAATCCTGCCTTCTGTGGGGCTCTTTAGCATCTGCCTCGACTGAAAGTAATTCTTTTCCAAGCACAATTCTCACAGAATCCCTTTAGCGAGATTTATTGAGAAGAAAGGGATGGGGTCGCAAGAATACCAGCAGCTGAGCTACTTTAGGCTGGATGCTTCTTTCTCTTCTCAACTGCTTTACTAGGAACCGGCGAGGTGGCGGGTATGTTGGTTGTGAGGCAAACAGGAGCTGAGGCAGCAGATAATCTTTTCAAGGACCACATAATGTAGGAAATACTTTGTGGTGTATCTCTTCCCCGTCCCTGCCCTGCTTATTTTTTTCCTGGAAGACAGTGTGCCGTTTGGATGCATCTGGTCCCGATTTCAGGGGTTTCCAATGGTTTCCAACCTCCCTGGTTCTGCATATTTGCATGCCAGACTGGGGCAATAGCAAAGCTACTCCTGTTCATCCTACCTCCTAAGGGACGTTGTAGTGGCGTTCTCCTATGCTGCCAGTAGACCAAGCTCTCAGTTATGTTTTTTGAGTTCACTGACAATTTCACTGTGAGATTCCAAACACCACATGAAGGATGTTCCCTCATCAAGACTCGTATTTTCCATTTAAGGGGACTTTGGTTCCTCAGCAAAGTAACATTCTCTTTTTCTTTCTCTAAAGGAAGCCCTGCAAAAAATCAGGCAGAAGAATACCATGCGGCGTGAAGTAACCGTTGAGCTGAGCAGCCAGGGATTCTGGAAGACGGGAATTCGTTCTGATGTTTGTCAAGTGAGTTAGAGTTCCATCTGTCTTCCTAGGGGATGATGAAAGCCAGTTTTAACTATGGCTCCTTCAAGCCTGTGAAATATGGATAAGATGGGGTGTGGCCCCCAGATTCTCAAAATTCAACAAATGTACTATTGCAGATCTAATCCTGGAGACACCCAGTATCTCTTGTATTATTATTATTTTTTTTGCTGAAGTAAACAGAAGACTGGGCAAAGGGTACGCATCACACTACTCCCTTTCAGAATAAGCATTCTTGGAGAAAATCTTACCTATGCGGTCACTAAGAGTTGTGACCGATTTGATGGCACATAATCAAACAAACTTATGCAAAGTGCAGAAAAGTGTAGATATGAGGCACATATACCTCATTTCTGGACCAGCCTACAGCAGACAACAGAAAGAAAAAAAATTATTTATATCAAGGCAGAACTCCACAAGAGGAATTCTCAACAAGGGAGATTCTCAATCTCACTTAACTATCTTCCTATTTTCTTATTCTTGGTTGCTTTGAAACTGAGACATACAAAGTGGATTTTGTATCAATGATATTATCCCTCCCCCAGATATTTTCCTTTTTATATGGAGCTTTTGTTTTTGAGGAATAAATGTATTAATGGAAAATCCATGTCAAACAGCATCTTTCTTTCTTTTCGCACTTAGAAACAAAATTGTTCATGGAGTCGAAAGCCTTTGCAGCTTTACTACTCAAATGTTTTTGTTCTTTTTATTGTGAAGGACAGCAAAGTACCAAATGGCAAAGAATCTGCTCCACTGGAGAATCAATTGTTTTTGAGAGAAAACTATATAGATGTAATATACCTATATATATTCATATATTCCCCAAAGATGCCAAAGGAGACAGTGTATCTTTATGTGTGTGTGATTATACTGTATGTGTATCTATATCAATATCTATGTTGCTTCCTACCAGATTAAAAAGCGATCGGATGGAATTTAATGTATATCAAGACCATGGGCGAGTACATTACAGAGTGCTTGAAAATTATTGGTGCAGTATTTTTCTTTCCTGCTCAGTGGAATAGATTGGTTCAGGATTAGAGTTTCAGTTTAAGAAATTTGAAATGTTCCTGTGTTCACATGCTGCTAACTAAATACCTGGAGCATGGTCCCTGGGCATGATGGTTGCAGAGTTTTCACAGAGAGGATTTCAATAAATATCCTTCTGCCCACATTTTCACTGGCCCATGGACAGACAGCATAACAAAGCAAATGAGGAGCTTAGAGGTTTGGGCATACAGGCTACATCTCAAAAGCTCTTCTTTTCCCAGCTTGCTAGTCTCTTGAGAACCTCCATGGACAGGCACTGAAGAGATCTTCTCTCTTCTGCATCAGATTGTTGCTTGTAAATGAGCAATCCCTGGTAAAATCCAAGCTCCAACTTGGCATAGATACTAGATAGCATGCTTGAATGATAAAGGTCTTAACCTTCTTTTGTGTGACATCCTTTAACAACTGCTATTGCCTCCCCCCTCAGTCTTCTCTCTTCAAGGCTAAACCTCCTCAGTTCCTTTGGTCTCTCTTCATAAGACTTTCTAGCCTCCTGATCATCCTTGTTGCTCTCTTTTAATATTCCAGTTAGTCTGAATCTTTCTTAAATCACAGTGCCAAGAATTAGACGCAGTACTCAATTAGGGGGTCTCACCAATACAGAATATTGCTTCCCTTGATTTGGAAGTCTTCTGTTAATTGTCTAAAGCATTATTTGTGTGTTTGTTTGTTTTGGCAGCAATATTTCACTGCTGATTCATATTTGGTTTTCAGTCAACTATTAGTCCAAGATTACTCCAGGTACTTTTACCAAGCCAGATACTCCCCAGCATATCTGATTTCTCTTTCCTGAGTGAAGAACTTCACATCTGCTTTTTAAACTTCATTCTACATTTACAGCCCATTTCTCTCACCCATCAATATTATTTTCAATTTTATTTCTGTATTCTAGAGTTTAGGTATTCCATTCAGTTATGTGCCATTTGATAAACTTTCCCTCCAGCCTTTCATCCAAAAGTGCTAAAAAGTTGATTCAGAGTCCAGGTCTGAAACTTGTGGCACATCACTTGATAAATCCCTCCAGCCTGTTGAGGAACTATCGATGAGCACTCGTTGAGCCCGGTTTTTAAGCCAGCTTGGTTCCACTTAATTGTGGTGCCATCATCTGTAGCCTACCCTTTTTATCTGTTTGTGTGTGAATGTGTGTGTATGTATTTCTCTCTCTGTGTCTCACTCAATATATTATGTCCACAACATTCCCACAATCTGCTAAGGAAGCTTCATTATATTCATCCTCCAGGATTTTTCAGAGATAAAAGTGTGCCAGTCCATCAGCAAATTTTCAGTGATGAAATTCATCTGTCCTGGGGAATTTTTGTTTGTTTGTTTTTGGTGCCTTTGAGTCAGTCTTGACTCCTGGTGACTGCCTGGACAAGTCCCTGCAGTTTTCTTGGCAATGTGTTTGGAAGTGGTTTGCCATTGCCTTCTTCCTAGGGCTGAGAGAAAGTGACCGGCTCAAGGTCACCCAGATGGCTTTTTGCCAAAGGCAGGACTAGAATTCACAGTCTCCTGGTTTGTAGCCTGATCCTTGATCGCTTAACCTCTCCCTGGAGATTTAAATTCATTTAAAGAAAATAGCTCCCCCCCCCCCCCCCCCCCCC